GTACAAAATCTTACGCAAAAATAAGTTCCCTTTACTCACTTATACCTACTATATTGGTGTTTGCTTGCTGATACAACCTTTTTCACCTCTGTACAGGGTTTGTACCAAAAAATTTCGGTGGGAGAGTATAACAAGGTATTTTGGTAGTATCAACTGAGTTGATAAGAAGGTTAAGAAACTTATATTTTACCTGTGAATCTCGTAATACTCTAAAGTCATTTAGTTGGCGGTTTCGCGTTGTCCAAACTATCTCGAAACCGGATATGGAACACAGCGGCAAATCAGAAATCCGTCTTCGTTCTCGTGCTCCAGATATTGCTAAGTTTGATCGTTTCACGTTGTTGTTTTGCAGAGGAAGCAAAGATCTTTACAAAGATTTACAAAGCACTTGCACAACCATTGTCCTGCTCATTAAACCTTTTGTTTAGTGACGTTCCCGTTGACGTTGCCGTTAAACTCCCTGATAACGTAAATTGGTCACCATAAAGAGTTACAGAGCAGACTTCTCGAGCGTTAGCCTTCCGTCAGAGTGAAAGACGAAGGGCCAACGAGAAGGGCTAACTCTAACAAAGGGCTAGCATTCGAAACGTCAGCTTTGTAACTCTTTACGGTGGCCAAATTACGTTATCAACTCAGTTTGATACTACCAAAATACCCCATTTATTTATTTGTTTGTTTGCTTTGATTTTTTTTCAGCTGGCATCTCGGAGAACCGATCATGATCACGGGCGGGCTTACTTTCAGAGTCTCTCCATAATCATTCCTCAAAACGTATTGAACATCACTCAAAATAAAAGGGAAAAGAAGAAAATTCATAAAACACCTTCCGTCTAGACGAAAAGCCGCTTTTTGGAGTTTAGCCAACGTTCCTTCCCCAAAAAAATCCCCTCCTAGGGTGGGGAAAGGGGATGAAAGGAAAATGAACTGCAGACGAAAGAGAGTGGGCGCAATCGCGCGTACAGTAACTGACTCAGCCACACATTTAGAGGTGATGATTAGTAACACCAACAGGTGCTAACGTTTGCTCAGGTTTTCTAGACTGTATCTTCGTTTTCTTCTCTTTAAGATAGCAGGAAGAGGTTTCGCTCTCGCTATCGCATACCCCAGTACAAGAAAACAAGTGAAGTTTTTGATAAATTGGCGACCTATTCTTTTTTCCAGGATCGAACTGAAGTCAGAGACACAATCGCGATTTGTGCAAGACCAGTACAGTGAGTCACAGACGCATCACGATGTTTCATCAGATCGAACCAAAGTCAAAAACACAATCGTCAATTTTGCAAGACCTGTGCGGGAGTACTAAATCTATCACAATGTTTTGCAAGATTTAACTGAAGTCACAAACACAGTCGCCAGTCTCGCAAGACTGGTGACTGGTTTGGTCAGTCTTCGTGGTAAATAACACTTTCGAAAGAGAAATGTTAACGTTTGTCTCACGATGTGGTCCTTTTGGATTTGGACCGCGACGTTTCGACTGCATACTGCTAGTCCATTTCAAAGGCCCTATGTCCTGACTATGTCAAAGGCCGCTGTCCACAACAACAAGGCATACGCGCCATTTTCAAGTCAGAGAGTACACCCGAAGAATGCCATCGACCTGGCTAAACAGGATGGCGTAGTCTATAAGATTCCCTGTGGGGGCGGGAAGGTCTTCATTAGCGGAAGTGGCAGACCTACGCAAGAGATAATCAAGGAACACGACAGGGATATCCGACTCACCAACAATTGAAAAGGTTTGATATGTTGAAATCCCTATGATATGCAAAGCACAGTCACTAGAAATGGTTAAAGAAAAAAATGAAAAGGAATGAACTTATATTTAATGTAACTGTATTACAGTGATATCTGTGTACAGTTTATTAAAATTCTACTGTAGTGAAGAATATATTGGTTGGCAATAAGCTAAGCAAAATCATTTCCTTCAAGGTTCATTAACGAAAACGCTTTTAAGGTCATTCCTCTGAAATAGAACCTGCGCTGAAATTCTTGTCAAACTTTATCCATTGGTTGTTTATCTTATAAGAACGTAAATTTTGAAGTAAAAATGGAGTGTCGCTGTGTTCGTTAAGGAGGTCATTAAAGTACCGTATAGATACTCATATAACTCCCATTATTATACGTTTAACTCAATATCTCTTTTCTGATTGGCCAAAAGCGAACGGTGGATTTTCGAAATCAGCACCTGGGACGTCATCTTTCTGCAGATTATACAATAATGATGTCAAGGACACTCAAGGTAACGGGTAATCATGTCATGAATGACCGCGGTGCATTATTTCTAAGAGTAATCATGTCAAGTTCGTGCACTTTGTGTTGAGTATAACAAGGTAATTTAGTATTATCAACTAAGTTGATAACGTAAATTTGTCTCAGTAAAGACTTTCAAGGCTGAGCTCTTTACGGTGGCCAATTTACATTATCAACTCAGTTGATAATATCAAATTACCCTGATTGCAAGAATATCATGACAATTATATTTACGAGTATTTGCTTAGTTCCTTTTCCTAAATTGAAAATTAATTTGCATCTATTTTACGGAAAAAACTCATTGCTTGACACCAAGAAAGAGGAAAAATGATAGGTCATCGTGTCCCGCTACCATCGGGAAAAAGCCGCCATTTTTAATCATTGTGTGCGCGCTAGTAACGTGTGAAATATGCACAGTAACAAAATGCAAGCAATAAGATTGCCACAAGATTCACTGGTTCCAAAAGTCTGTTTTAAACTCATTCAAACTTCTCGATGACTTCGCACAAAGCAAAAACTGAACCCATGATTTGTGTTTTATTCAAACGTTCAAATGGAATGAATGTTCCAAATACTTTGGTAGAACATTTCAAAGACACCACATTTAGTATCCAATGTTCACGACTCACCAATGATTTAGAAAATAAAGAGGAACGAAGACTTATTGACTCTAATCAAAACTAAAACAAAATTCTCGGACGTGATTGGTTATCACCAACCCGATTGGAGCACTAATAATATACATGAAAAATTACTCAGTTCTGATTGGTTAAGATAAATGCAGTTTTCAGATAATTCAGAGCAGAAGAGAGTTAATTCAGTGCAGAAGAGGGTCAATTCAGTACAAAGAAGTAACAAACCAGACATTTTGATCGGTCAATAATCAAAGAAACTCACAGATAGCCAATCAAATGCGAGCCTTGGATGTCGCAACATTTGGATACGCTGAAAATTTGCGAGTTAAACAGTGGCCGGCGTTTCAAGTAGGTTTTCTTTCGCCACCTCAATCACAATACAGCAGCTGAAAAACAGCTCTAACAACAAAAACACTGTAAACACTGCTTTTTGGTTGACAGTTTGGAAAAAGTGGTGTTTAGATAAGGGAATTGCCAAGGAAATCGAAAATTACGAGCCGACCCGGCTTATCACTTTACTCGAGCGATTCTACGCCGAAATTAATAACAAATATGGTTAAACCTCGCAAACGACGATTCCATTTCATCGAAAGTGATTCGGAAACAGACTGAACAATTCCTTAACCTGCTTAGCCGGACTTTGAACTTTTTGCGCCTTAAAGATGTGACAATATCATTGTATATTATTGTTTTGATCGTACGCGGTTGTTTTGACCGAACGCACAAATTCACTTGCAGGGTTTAAAATAAATCATTTTTGCACTTGATGCGCGCGCTTTGCTTCTGCATAATCACGATAAGCTATCTCGTATTTTTTCATGTATATTATTAATACGTAATCACATGATTTTTCTCGTGCAATTCGGAATAAATAAGCACTTGTTAATTTTTTTCAAAGACCACAATCATGTAATTACGAGGAACGTCTTTCGCTTTGACGAAGTGCTAACACTCGAGACGTCTGCTTTGAAACTCTTTACAGTAGCCAATTTACGTTATCAACTCGGTTGCTAATACCAAATTATCCTTGGATGCAAATGACTTACTTTCTCTTTTACGACCATGATGCGAGGCAATCAGAGTGCGCACACCCCCAGCATGCTAAGAGTCTTCCTCAGGCGATGAGGTCGAGTGGTTACCCGCCATATTATGAACCATCATGGTCAGCTGTGATTGGCCGGTATTCAAAGGCCTCTAACGGCGCGCGGCTGGCTCCCCTGTTGTTTTGCTTTGTTGTTTTTGTTTGTTTGTTTCTCGAGACTGTAAAGATAGTATTACCATCGCTTGATAACGCAGGAAGAAATCGAGCCACTAATTCCAAATAGTTTGAGCGTGTAGTCTGATCGTCCGGGTAGGTGTAGTCCTGAGAAGGACTGTTGTCGGTAGTAGAGACCTACTATTCGACGACCTTAGCCTCATGTGGTGCAAGTCCGTCCTGATTGGTCAGTTGAGTCTTACAGACAACAATATCACGGTTAAACAGCCCAATCAGTTTGCACGAAGCAGACTTATGACACTGGACTGACAACCACTCTTCACTTGATTCTGATGTTGACTTCCGCTCGTGTTGTGGATACGTCCTCAGGACTACTCTCAACCGGATGTTAGGAGGAATTTGAGATTGAGTACTCTGTGAAGCATTTTTAAAGAATAAGATGCGCGTAAATTGATGCACCAACCAGGGTGGCTTTCAAGCAACGTTATTAAGAGAACGACTTTCGTATTCGTCGTGTTCATCAAATTTCGTCCTGTAGAATTTGTGCTTCAGCCATACCAGGGATCTGTCGTCTCAAACATAGTCCCCTCCCCTAGCTTAACAACAGTCAATTGATAACGAGTTAGGGTTAATGTTGGGTTAGGGGAGGGGAAAATTGACTGCCAATGAGGCGGGATTACCAGAGTACAATAGAGCCTTAAAGGAGGATCAGAATGTGACGACCAAAATCCTTCGAATTCTTGCCCCCCCCCTCCCCTCTCTCTCTCTCCCGGCGATATAGAAAAAAGATATCCATACAAATAAATATGTCACGCAGTACAGTGTAAAATACATTTTTTTTCTTTTATGGTGTATTCATATGTGTGGAATCTCCATTTAGATCATGCAATTTGAATTACCTTCTCTCAATGCCTTCATGTCTAGGGGTAGTCTTTATCTTTAATACAAATTCCAAATTAATTACATTGAACAAGTCAATTCAATCAATTTGAGGACAGCTTAAAACAGAACACGAAGATTCCTTTAAAATAGGCCTTGATTATTTACCTACTACAAAAATTAGTGATAAAAACAATTACATGTTGATTACATGAATACCTGAAAAATACTTCAGCTACTTAAAAATACTTAAAATACTTAAGCCGCCTTGCTTATTTACCTGCTTAAAAAATTCGTGTTAAGAACAGTAAAAAAGCTCTCTAATAAATGAGCTGATTCTCTTTTGTAATGACATCAGAACTAACTATTTCACAAAATTGTCAATGAAGAACAACCTGATAAAATGGTAGCAATATAGTTAAGACCCTTGTTTCAAACTTTAAAGGCCTTTTGGAATTCTTCTCAAATAAAAGTTACCTAATGTTACCCCACGACCAACTGGTTATTTCTAAGGAAAAACTGTCTAAAACCATTCAAGTTGTCACACGGCTACGCATGCTTAGTAGCCTCGGAGAAAACGACAAGAAAAACGTTAAACATTTCAACTCAGATCAATGATGAATTCCCTCTGTCTTTGTCCTAGTCTCCACTCAATCTACAATCAGTTCAACATTAACAAATACAAACAGAAATGCCTATTACAAGGCACTTGCCTTATATGGTGTTACGATCCAGCAGGCCGCGGTTGCTTAAAGGATGGATAACGCAATCCAATGGATAAATTTCTATCTGGTATTTAGTGCAGTTAATTTTGTCTACTCTTATCCGCTGAATAGCGATTTATCCGTTAGATAGCGTTATCTCCCCTTTAAGTTACTAAGCACTGGCGTCAGAGAGATCGAAAAAAATTAAAAACTCATCATATTTTTGAATGATCATGCTTGTCATTACGGTTATATGTACATGTTTTGTCCGTTTCTCCTGAGAAACAGCTGGAAATACTAATCTCTTTCCACCCTTCGCTCTAAGTGAACTAATTTATGCTGGCTATATGTCACATCAATATGATTAGGTCTGCACTTTAGGACATAAATTTCTGCTGCAAATTTTTAACACTGTACTGCCTCAAACAGAACTTTAAGAACATATAGTTCCTCTTTTTCACGAAGTTCGTCACTCATCATCTAAAATGTGGTTAATTTTCGTACAAATTTCTTTTCCAACTCTTCAATCTTCTTTTTAATGTCACCTAATTCCTCCAGCGCAGCTATAAACTCTTCCAGTGAGAACCCTATCTCAGGTCCCGGGATTTCAGGTTCTCGTAAGCCGAGTTCATGAAATGCGATCTTAATTTTCGAAATCTTTGTTCGGAAATATTCGTTTGAAATTTCGACCGTTGGCCAATGCGCTAATTCATTACGTAAATATCTAAGATCACCCACATTTGATTTTATCCTTGGATTGAGATTGTCAGGGGAATCGCAATTAAGGATGGCATAACACAGCACGGAAGAATCCCATTCAGCCCTGTTACCCTTTTCGATAGTTTCCAAGAGATAACGATTTATTCTTCTGGATTGACGGCGTATGATCGTGCAAAAGATCTTTCCGTCATCCGGTGTATCTTTCCATTCTCCCAGGTTTGTCTTGTAGCGATTGTCCCATTCTTGTTTAAAGATTTTCCGCAGGCCTTCAGGTACTACATCCCCGACAACTCGAAGGAGCATGTAGTAGTTCATTTTCTCTTCGGTGTATTTTAAATAAGGAGCCACTAACCGTGATACTGTGAGGAAACGGAAAAAGAATATTTAAGTAAACCGCATTTCAATGGGCCTATAGTGGTATTTGAATACTTTTACGTTTAAAATGGGGGTTGTCCAATACACCCAAAACGCCACGATTCGTTCGCGAACCGTTTTACCGGAAGTCGATTCGCGGTTAATGTGTCTCGTTATACCGGAAATTTGATAAACCATCTCTTCATGGATGGAAATGCAAACTGGATGTCAATTTGTAAGACACTTGGAGAATATCTCGCAATCGACTTGAATCGACTCAAATCAAAGGACTCGCATTTTCCTACCTGCTTTAAATGAAGCTGAGAAGCCATCTTCATCATTGTGATGGATTTGAAAGAAGAATGCCTCTTTCTTGCTTTTAGTGTATTTTGATGGGTCAAAATTGTTTGTGTCATGAAGAATGCACAGTAAGAAGTTTCCCCTCTGACCCCTTACACCCTCACATCAGTATGCATATTCTCCATACTGTTCCCTGTACATTTCCATTCTTCTTTCAAATCCATCACAATTGGCACAGTTACATTATGATTAGTCCTTTACAAAGATAGTGTACAGAGGAATGCAGTCCATCTACATTCAGCAAAGCACAGGTGATCCATTACTCAAACAAAAAAATTTTATCTAGTTAAGGCAATAGAAAACAAATCCTAGAGGAGAAGGTTTATGAAGACCCAGCAAAATTTAAGAAGAAAACATCTGTGTTGCATTTGAGGTTGGGAGCTCCCTGTCCATGCCAAATCTTTTGTTCAAATATTCTGGTATGAAGACCAGATATGTGTAAATCAATGGCATGTTTGTTAGCTTGCATTACAACTGAAATCCTACAGAAGGGCCAGGTCCAAGCCCTTAACTTAAACTACAACTCTACAAGCTTTTCACTACTTTCATTTTACTTCAATTGCAAGTATTGTACCAGGAATAGAGGAGCCTTTTACTTATCCCCTCTCAGTAGTCCCTCTAAAAGGGCTACAAAAAAGTTAGCCTGAGAATTAAGTAAAATAGAGAGCATACCTTGTCCATGTGTTGGAAGATTACCATCTCTTCCTTCTGCTAATGCCTCTGTTGGCTGGACCCCTGTTTCCTCTAGTCCCTGACGTCCTTCTGCCCTACTTCCAACTGGTTTTCAGCATACAAAAGGGGAAAAAATTGAGATCTCTTGTATACCATAATGATTTACAGGTATTCAGGCAACCCAACCAAAACCTTCTATTCTCCTATAGGGCTTCATTAAACTAAATAAATTCCTTGAACAGGCTAACCCAGTTAGAACTAATAACAAAACAGAGCTACAATTAAATCTGGAAGATATGACCACGCAGTACTCTCTGGAGTGGGTGGCGAGCTGGATCCTTGACGAAGACGTCATAGCTCAAGTTTTGAGTAGGGTCACTGTATTGTGTTTGTAAGGTAACAAAATTTAGCATAGCCCAAATTTACTGGGCTAAAAGTCGATTCGCAGTTAATGCATCTTGTTATACCGGAGATCTGATAAACCATTCCTTAGTGGATGGAAATGCAAACTGGATGTCATTTTGCAAGATTCTTGGAGAATATCTCGCAATCGACTTGAATCGACTCAAATCAAAGGACTCGCATTTTCCTACCTGCTTTAAATGAAGCTGAGAAGCCATCTTCATCATTGTGATGGATTTGAAAGAAGAATGCCTCTTTCTTGCTTTTAGTGTATTTTGATGGGTCAAAATTGTTTGTGTCATGAAGAATGCACAGTAAGAAGTTTCCCCTCTGACCCCTTACACCCTCACATCAGTATGCATATTCTCCATACTGTTCCCTGTACATTTCCATTCTTCTTTCAAAGGCCAGGGCCAGGTCCAAGCCCTTAACTTAAACTACAACTCTACAAGCTTTTCACTACTTTCATTTTACTTCAATTACAAGTATTGTACCAGGAATAGAGGAGCCTTTTACTTATCCCCTCTCAGTAGTCCCTCTAAAAGGGCTACAAAAAAGTTAGCCTGAGAATTAAGTAAAATAGAGAGCATACCTTGTCCATGTGTTGGAAGATTACCATCTCTTCCTTCTGCTAATGCCTCTGTTTGCTGGACCCCTGTTTCCTCTAGTCCCTGACGTCCTTCTGCCCTTCTTCTGACTGGTTTTCAGCATACAAAAGGAGAAAAAATTGATATCCCTTGTATACCATAATGATTTACAGGCATTCATGCGACCCAACCAAAACCTTCCGTTCTCCTATAGGGCTTCATTTTACTAAATAAATTCCTTGAACAGGCTAACCCAGTTAAAACTAATAACAAAACAGAACTACAGTTCAATGTGGAAGATATGACCATGCAGTACTCTCTGTAGGGTGGTAGGTGGTGGGCTGGATCCCTAGTGAAGAAGTCAGAGCTCAAGTTTTGTGTAGGGTCACTGTATCATGTTTGTAAGGCAACAAAATTTAGCCCAATATTATGGCTCTATCCAGTCCAAGAAGTGCTAGGGTGGATAATACATTAAAAGAAAAACCTGATGAAATTCGGAGAGAATAACCATGAAGGACCTATATTGAAAGTAACATGTCAGGGGCAACCAATTTAGATTTCCATAGATAATGAACACTTAAGTTAATTAACTGTATTTTTTCAGAAAACAAGAAAAGTTGGGCACTGTAAAGTTCATTATCGGTAAAATCCAGGGAAAGTCCAAGCATGAGCGGAAAGGAAAAATTCCCACCTGTAAGCAAAACAATCATCTGATGCCGGTAACGTTCAAGACTTAAAATAATTGACTTACAAAATAATACATGTACAAGTACCCTAAACCAACCAAAAGTTACCAACCTGAAGGTAACGGTGACCTTTTAATCTGTGAAAACAGTACAAAAGAAATCTGCTGGTTGTTGCCTTGAGTAATGGCACCCACAGCTTCTGCCACGCCGTTTTCGCCTGTGATGGTAATTGGAGCTCCAAGGCCTTTCTGAGAACCGTCGTATACGCTAGGGCCTTCTATCTTCCTGGGAGTTTCGAGTAGGTCAGCGAGATATGTTTCTTCGTCTACGATCCCCATCACCTTGCATAATCTTGTGGTAAATAACATTTTGTCAGATTTCTCAACGACGTGACAGTATAGATCACAGTTCCTTAAAACTTGGTTTCTTGCAGTGTTTATGGTAAATGGACGGTGATTCAGTAAACCGGAAGTGCGTTTTTTAGCAGCGTTAAATTTCTCTGGGTCCACAGGTACAATCGCAAGGCCATGTGAATAGAAGATCTTTTCGTCGCATATACTAAGTAGCATCCTCGGTCCTTTGTTACTGCCATTTAACTTCTTGAAACATAAAAAGTAGCTACTCAAATCATCAGGTGAAATGACCCTGTCGCTTGTGATCAGGTGTACTTTTCTACTAGAATCCTCAAAGAAGTCCTTAACGAGGCTTCCAGTACCAACCAAGCCCTCACCGTGCCCAGGAATCTCTTTCCCGATCGCGCAAGTAGCTAACATACACTTCTTCGCCCTTCTTTCCCTGTCTTTTCTCTCTGAATGTAGCGGCACCAATGATGAACCCGAAAGGTTATCGGCTCCTCTTGAATCTGGCATGTTCTTCCTAACCTATTCCATTCCAAACCCCGAGGATACACGTAGTTTCACCGCTATACCAATAACCTTTACAACAGTTATCAACCACCATCAACGCCCTAACCCGGAAGCTTGCGAAGCCCACGTGACCTCTTGCCACCGAATATGCTACTTTGACCAGCGGTCAAAAACAAGGTAAAAGAGTGTGTCATATCTGGTGAACAGAATGTATTAAGAATGATAATACACTAGAACCGCTGACTCTAACTCCCGAGGGTAACCAGAAATGGTTCGACTTAGACGGGGTTCAAGTTAACTGATAGTAAATAACTGGAATAATGTGGTGAAGGGAAAACGGATTTTTTTCGAGTTACCAGAGGGTTCTGAGTAATGCGAGTTCAAGATAAACAAGGGTTTTTTTTTTAACCCTTTAACTCCCAAGATCTGATTGTTAATTCTCCCCTTCAACTGCTGGATTTCCTTGTAAATTAGTTATGAGAATTTGGTGCAAGATCAAGGCTAAAAATTCAACCTGATAAGCTTGGACATTTTCATCCATGTTTGCTAAAAAATGTTCAGATATTTTAGGGAGAAGTTCCATGTTAATCACTTTTGGGAGTTAAAGGGTTAAGAGCTTACAGGGAGTATCTATTTATGGGGTGCACTTAATCGTCAAATAAGCGTGAATATTATGGGATATGTTGTGCCTATATGATACCTTGACATGGATTATATACCCTTCTCCACCCAATGAATGCCCTGATATAATTTTCCTCCACTGGGGTGGGGTGGGGGGAAGGTAGTACTCAGGAGAGGATCATAAGAGACAAAGGTTTATGACAAAGTCCTCTGAGAAATATTTATTCAGAACTTATATGCCCAAGGCATGTACATTTTGTTTAATTGGAAAAACGTTTTTTAAAGAATCTATAAATCCAAGCTTCAAAATAATACAAATATATTTTGTACTGAAATGCTACTTGGCCTGAATGAATGAATGACCATATAGCATACCATTGGCAGAGCAATAAGGTTGCCTTAACAGTTATCCATGTAGTTTAATTTTAAAGTTTTCATTCAGTTGAAACAGGGAGAAGACACCACTCATATGAAACTAGAGTTAGCTTCAGGCTACTTTCTTTTGATAAAAACATCAGACTAAGAAGATTGTTATAAAAGATCTCAAACTGTATGCAGATTCTACATCTCATTCATGACCTGAGATGATAAATTGTGGAAGGATTACCTAAATTTTAAGACATCAAACTTGGATGATCCTTACAATAATTTCTTATTAAGTGTGAGAGCTGAAATGGCCCAATGTTGCAGAATTATGGCCAAACGGCAGTGAGGCCCACACAAAAGTGATCGATGGCCAATTTTTCCCCAGTAGGCCTTGAGCAAGTAAGGTTAACAAGTAGCTTATCACAGTGTATCTGATTTACCTCAGAGCCGGGTTATACTCATGTCAGAACTGAACGTCATAAACGCTGTTTTGTAAACAGATGCTTCTTCAATTTTATCTTATTGTTATTCATACATTCGTAAATAGTTTGTAATTAGCTTTTTATAGCAGTTAGTTATATGAAATTGTAAGTCCAGACATGTGACTCTGAGCATGTTCCCTTTGATATTTACTACTATTCAAAATAGGGTAAAATATTAATCTAGGATTAAAAGTTAACTTTGGTTTTAATTTCTTGTGTAGAGGATTGCCATAAGAATTAGGCTTTTGTTGAGTTTTATCTCAATAGGACTAAAAAATAATGGGAAAAAATCCAAACGAAAAATCCCTTTACAGTGCTATATGATCACATGTTATAAAAGTAACAACTGCATAGCTGGATTCATTCATAAAAGCCAGAAAAGCATGAAAAAGGCGTATGAAGCGGGTAAGTTTCTGTGGTGCCGCATCGGTGGGGACTGTTTGATGTTTCCACGTTATGCAGATAATGGCACTTAGTAATGTTTAATACATACATGCAGGACTCAAATTCAAAGTCAAAGTAAAGATAAGAAAAAGCTAAAACTTGATCTTCCTTGGTTCCTGAGAAACCATCCTACGAAAAGTTCTAAAAAATTCATAGAAAAAATTTACAGGTAACTTTTTCAACGATCACGCGTGATGTTTTCTTATCATGTAATTAATCCAACTACGTTACAAGCTTAGATAGTTGTGACATAGTAGCACGTCATTACGTACATTGGCTGTACACTGTTAAGGGCTGAAAGACTGCCTTATAGGCGACTTAAGGGCGCGATTAACTCTTTTCCTCAAATTCTCTAAATCATTATGAGGCAATCTTAAATGTAGCTGAACTTAATCCTTGCGAATATGCTGTAACTGAAGTTTTTTAATAGTCGCTATGTCAAAAGTCCCAATTCCGATTTAATTGAATACACTTTACAAGCCTGGCTTGCGAATTAAACAAAAAGTTATTATTAAGGGTGCTGTCCTTTGGGATGATCCTCATTAGGTTTTCTGATTAGTAGCGTTCCTCTTCCACGGCGAGTGTTATTGCTTTGGTCATTGTTTTGGGGTAACCTGGGTTGTCTCGGCAAGAATTTTCTGTTCTGCGTCGCCGCCCATTTTCAAGTTTCTTCAGATAGTCGGTCCAGCCGAAATTTGCAGCTATTTTACCTTTTCGAACCTGTCTTACATAGATAGCTGCGCTGGCCAAAGCAAGCGGCTTGTAGTCCAAAGACCGTGCAATTTCTTTTCCCGTCTCGTCATTAGTGACACCAGAAAGGAGCCTTAAAAAAGAGCTGGCATGATTAGGAAGTATCCCTTCGCTTAGTGATATGTGCTGAATGGAGGAGCTTGTCAAAGGAATAGACGTGAGGTCCTGTGTTGTTGACAACTGGCCCCTCACCCATTGTTGGGTCCTGGACCTGGCAGATAAGTATGTACATGTGACAAACTGGTGACATTATCACCTAGCAGCAACCACGACGTGTGAAGCCCAATTTTTGCGAAAACTACTGAGCGTCGTGAGACTCGCAATTTTCTCGTCTGTGCTCAGATCTTTGGAATTATGAGTGTCTGTAACTATATATTTTGGACGTCTGCAATGCCGGGCGAAAGAGACAGGCGATTCCAAAAGTGTTTCTGAATTTTCTGCATTAAGCGTCCTGAGAAATGGAATCGAAGGGGGAATTTCTTTGCCTTCGTCGAAGAGTCACTTAACTGTTAGACGGGCCAGCTGAGATTCTCCACTTCCAGGATTTCCAGATAAATACAAGGTGCTTCAGCTGTTATTGTTGGCACTTTTGAGTGCTTTGGGGTGGTGTGATTTTACCAACTCCAGATTCGCGAGGGGAGACGTCATGTGTAGGTTCAGGAGGGCGAATACACAACGGGGAGACTTCGGTATGCAAATGTTCTTCAAGAGCCGTTATTACCTAATTCTCTAATTCTTTCAAATTACTTTTCTTTTTCTTCGAGTTTCGTTTCTTTCTCTCGGAATTGTTGTCGTAAGGTGCCAGTTTCCTTCAGAACATTTCCTGACTCTTCCGTTAGGAAAATTGTCTTATTTGCGATTTCACGGATATTTTGAGCGGGAAGACCGAGTGCTTGAAATGTAGTAATTATATTAAAAATTTCCTTTTGAAAATCTACGCTAGAAAGGTAGCCTCGTGGAATATGCGAAAATTGTTCATTACGAAATATTCTGAGACTATCCACATTTGATCGAACAACTGGATTGAGACTGTGGATGCAATCGGAATAAAGGATGGCATAAAACAGCATGGTACAATCCCATTCAGCTCTTTTACCAGTTTTCATAGTTTTCCAGAGAGCGGCGTATCTTCTTCTATTTCGACACGATTCTCCGTTCCAAAAGTCCATTCCATTTTTTGGTTCATCTTTCCATTCTCCCAGGGTTGTCTTGTAGCGATTGTCCCATTCTCGTTTAAAGATTTCCCGCAGGCCTCCAGTTAGTTCATCAGCGACAATCAAACAAATCTTGAGGTAGTTGAGTTGCTCTTCGGTGAACTTCAAAGAAGAAGCCATTGATTTGCACCGTGACACTGTGAGAAAAAAATATACTATTTTCGACCAACGGAAAAAAAGTATCAAAATAAACAGCATTTCAATGAGCCTATTATGGTATTTAAATACTTCTACGTTTCAATCAATCATTGGGCAAACTCCTGGTCGATTAACAACCATACTGATGATTTCTGAAAATTGAGAATGACCCTTCTACTTGAGTTGAGATGAAACAAGTTAAGCCAATGTTCTTCCAGTTCGCCTATAGGCAATCCAAACTGATATTCCACAATTCTTTCCATTCATTCCCTTCTTTAGCATTTCCGATTCTGTGGACAATCGAAATGCGCTAAAGTCGCCTAAAACTTAGGTAAACTGGCCGCTTAAGCGATCGCAAAATAGAATCGGGTCAGTCTTGTCTTGTAAACGAAGCATCACCTCTTAAAAATTCAAATAAGTTTTTGCCATATTTCCCAGATTTATATTTTTTTAATTCTTTACGGTCTGTGTAGAAAGCTTTTAAATTGCTGGTCATCAGAATGATTGTAAGATTGGAAGATTGACCATCGTTATCTTTGCATATTAAATCAGATTTACACTTCTCCCTCTCACTTGTGTCATCTCCAGCTCTAAGCTTTTTGCTTCCATTGTTGCTATATTCTGGGTTTAGACTACTCCCACTTGAAATAAATTTTTGGGAAAAAAAAGTAATTTACAAAAATAATCTGACATGATATACTTCGTTTCTTTAGATAAACCCCTTCACTTTAGTTATAATCAACAGATTGAAAATTCCAAATGCAAACCTTGAGCAGATGTGTACTGATCCGCTGAGTGCTTAAGAGTGTTTCCTTTTCTTGCTTCTTCTCTGTAACTTGATGCGAATGAGGCACAATCTGCAAGAGAAAAATCATTGCTTGACTAAGAGTCTCCTTTCACTCTCAAAGTTGATGAATAATACCTAGAACAATAAAGAATTCCACCCTGCTAGCCAAATTATTTTTAAAAGGAAACCTTGTGGTCAAGATACGCAAAGATTATAGTAAGTCTTTCTCTTTCTTTTTCTGTAAGTTAGAGAACACACATTGCTATCTCTGTGTCTCTACCTTCTTCTGAACATTTTTTTATTTCGAGCAGCTCCTTATAATGATCGTAGCGCTACAAGAGGCGCGTTTCTCCGCCCCTGGGAAGATTTGAGACGAATATGGGTGAGGTTTGCCGGGGGTCTATAATGGTATTTAAATACTTCTACGTTTCAATCAATCTTTGGGCAAACTCCTGCTCATTACTGCGAAGATCGCTTTTATATTCATATGGTTTTTATTATTCAAATTGAATAACTGAGTTATTTTCTTCATCGAGTGATGAATATATACATATGAAGAACATACCTATACCTCCAATGCACTCCTACCTAAAAAGTCTAATCGAAAACGTTAAAAGCGTCATCAAACGAATGTGATGGAAAGCTCATCTCCACGGAAACAACTCCGATGAAAGAATTCAACCAACACACGACGCCGATGCCGAAACCGAAACCGACGATAAATACGGATTTAAATCCCGAAAATACCCCCCTCGACATGAAGATCTGGATAGATTCCAAGCTGACCTCATGGACATGGTAAACAACATTCAATTCAGAAGACACAAGAAAAATTTCAAACCCGGCTAAATAAGGACATACAAAGAATCAAAAGCTCTAGCAAAGCCTTCATCCCCGCTGACAGAACAACTAACCTCTACGAACTAGACAAAACACAGCACGAAAAACCAATACAAAACAGCATAACGACAACCTATAAAAAGGCGAGCAAGGGCATTATTCACAGTATTAGCCAAGAAGCAAAAGCCATAGCAACACTACTAGACATCCAAGACCGAACCGAACGCATAGCAGAACGACAAGCCTTCATATCGCTCAAAGATCACAAATAATCCAACCTGCAGACTAATCAACCCAGCCAAATGCGAAATAGGTCGAATAAGTAAACAAATACTCCAAAGAATCAACACCGATGTAAGAAACAAAACGTCACTCAACCAATGGAAAAACTCCTCTTCTGTTATCGATTGGTTCAAAAATTTTCCAGACAAGCATCTACACACCTTCACCGTATTCGACACCGAGAGCTTCTACCATTCCATATCTGAAAAACAACTAACCAACGCTATCCACTTCGCCAAGAAACAAACCAAGATACCAACCAAAACACCGATATTACCATGCACTCCAGAAAATCAATCCTACTCCACAACAGGTCACCCTGGGTGAAAAAGGACAACGATGGTGTGTTTGACGTAACAATGGGAAGCTTTGACGGCGCAGAAGTATGTGAACTAGTCGGACTTTTCATCTTGAACGACCTCGCAAACAAATACGGAACAAACAACATCGGACTTTGCAGGGACGACGGACTCGCCATTTTCAAGAACAGAACAGGACCTCAGGCAGAAAGGACACGGAAAGAAATAGCAAGGTGCTTCAAGGAACACGGACTGAAAATAACAATCCAAAGCAACTTAAAATCAGTTGATTACCTCGATATCACACTCAACTTGACGAACGGTCTATTCCAACCATTCAGAAAACCGAACGACGAGCCGCTTTACATCAACACAAAATCTAACTACCCACCCACTGTCATCAAACAAATACCCGTAGCGCCATCTATCACAGATTATCAGCCTTACCATCCAACAAAGGAACACTCGATAAAGCCAATCCTCTCTACGACAAAGCCCTCAGATCAAGTGGATTCAACGAAAGCCTTCACTACTGCAAGAAAAACACAACCACACCCACAAAAAGAAATAGAAAACGAAACATCATCTGGTTTAACCCCCATTCAGCAAAAATTTCCAAACCAACGTCGCTAAAACCTTCTTCAACCTAATCAAGAAACACTTCCTACCAAACCACAATCTCTACCCCGTCTTTAACAAGAAAAACGTGAAAGTAAGCTACAGTTGCATGCCGAACATGGGCAGCATTATCAACAACCATAACAAGAAAACCCTTACCAACAACAACACCACACCGCAAAACGGATGCAACAGCTAGACAACACCTGCCTCATCACCAGCGTGTTCTACAAAGCCAACGTGACCACAGACAAAGACGACACAGGAAAGAACTACATCGGACAGAAGGAACATTGAAACGATATACGCAACATAAACTATGATTACGTGACAGGAAATACACTAACCGCACCGAACTAGCAAAACACATCTGAAATAATTGTACTACATGAACATTAGGCAATTTTTCACGTGCTTGAATTGTATCTCACCGATCAAATTCCATTTTGCCACATTAGACTTCGCTCCATCACGTGTCATTTCCTATTAGACAACCTGCATTTTATCACGTATTCTAAACGCATTATCCAACCCCAATGAAAAGTGATAGGGAATTTTCCACGCAATTCTCCTGCGTTTTGACTTTCTCTACGAATAAAATTCGCTTCTTGCTACCTTCAGATTGAAACCAATCGCGAGTTGATTCTAGTTAAAAAAACCTGCATTTGTACAACAAAGTCTCAGTTTGCTTTTCGTCATAAAATTACGCGGAGTTATATTTTTGAGGCAACTAACTGTAGACGAATAATTTTCATTTTCTCTTGGCTAGAGGAACAGCAGTAAGCGTCACGGTCTCTTTTGCAACCGGTATTCGGTCTCATCACGGAACGCACTCTCTCTCCAACAGGAAATAGAGGGCATTGTGTGAAGAGATCAAACAACGGCTACGAACAAGACAGCAGTAAGCGTGGTACCGATGCATTTCATTTTTACTTAGAAGTATTTAGACAACAGACCACAAAATATCTGTATGATTTCAGATAAAGTAATATTTTTTCTGTCTTTCTCATAAGGTGAAGTAGGGCGATATTTTCGTTCTTTTGAAAGTTATGCTCTTCTCGGTTACAAAAATGAAAACATTAAGTTCACAAACTGTCCTATACCAACCCACCCAGCGAAAAAATTACTCTTACATGCTAAGCATGCCCATGTTTTTATTTAATGAAAAAAAACAAGGACTCAAAAATTCGTAATACAAATCCACTAACACGTTCACTCCAAATCGAACTGAACCTTGCAAGACAAATGAAGAAAATGAACAAAATTGATAGAAAATTGTTGAGCTTACCAGCTTCTGGTAGACGAAAAGCGTTTAAGTTATCAGATCCAGCTGATGCGCCTTCCAATGCTTTGCATACACCTTCCACGACGGCATTTCTGGTTGTTTCACATGCCTTAACCTTTTTCGCGAGTTCACTCATCTCGTCTTTGTATGTAAACTTAAAATCCTTTCCAAAGGGCTCATATCCGACGTTTTCAATGAATTTAATTATTTCAACTGTTACTTCACGTTCAATTTCACTCCCTGTGACAATTAAAACAACAAAATAATTATCAATGGTTTATACCACTCCACAGAATCAGACGCAAAAATTAAATTAACAGTATCGACAATAATGACTCCAAATAAGGGGACGGACTTGAAAAATGTATTTAAAATATGTATCCTGCTTTGCGCAACTTTCCATGATAAGTTTTTTCTGCAACGACCTGACTCTTGTTATAAAATACTCAATCTCAAAATCAAGACTGTCATCTCCTGATCCGCTAAAGGACTACAACGGAACTGCCGCTCTGTGCTTTACATTAATGTAATGTGCTCGCTTTCCCTCGCTATAAAATTTCTCGCGCTTTGTGTCTGGCGCACTGGCTTGACGAAAACTCTTTAGCATATTAACCAGTAGAAAGCTGACTGAGAAGTCCAAAACTTCTACGTAATCATCATTACCGACGAAAAATTAGGTTTGATTGTTTCCGTGTCGTTCACTGTTTCGTTCGTTACGTTTTCACATTTTTCCTAGACAAAAACGTCTTTTATTCTTGAAGGGTTTCTTTGTTTTTCTGACACAATGCCCAGAAAAATTGACACTGTACCCTAAGATACCTACTAAGAGAAATAATACACAGAGTTAACTTACTTGGATAAAGACCAATCAAGGTGTAGGGGTTTTGTAGTGTCAGGTTAACTGCTTTAAGACCTTTAAAATCAGCCTGATATGCTGTAACACCAATAGGCAACTCAGACTTGTAGCTTACTATGAACATTTTCGGCTCTTGCTAGTAGTAAAAATGAATTAAAGAAAAAATTAAACTTCAATAGATTTAACCATCGCAGGGTTCGACAACTGACTACCTGCATTACTAGCCACCGGACTAGTGATTTCTAAAATTTGCAAGTCCGAAACACAACTTGGTAGCCCGGATCAATTTTCCTCGAGGTCTACTTCAACCCCAAACACGCAAACCTTCCTCTAAACTTATTGGCAAGAGTCTTTTAAAGTGATAAAGAATAGCGTTTTTTCTTTCATTGTGATAACATCATGTGTTATTTAAGGAACTAGACCCTGTGAGCAGGGTAACTGGGATACCTGGATGGTAGTGGATCTTTGGAGTCAAGCGTAGTGATACTATGTGTGTCGGACTAGTATACTAAAATAGTGCGCTCAAGTCTGGCCAAGGGCATACACCTATTTCAAAACATAGGCAAGCTATGCATGCAAGAGTTATTTTTTGTAGGGTGGGTGGATAACTTGAAACATTGTAAGTGGTCTACATTCTTACAAAAGGAAAGAAGAGTATTAACGCGGAAAAGAACGAAAATGTCGAATTAACTCACACACAGGAATCTTTTGTAGATTGTACGTGTTGTGCGAATGAATGTAACCAAAAATAAACTGGTGCCACGGATACCTGTTACTACAAAATGCAGACAGTAGACTGCAGACCGGATACAAAATATAGGCTGTAGACTGCAGAGTAGGTACAAAATGCAGACTGAGAATCTGAAGAGTTTTTACATCTGGTATATAACAACATGTCATCTTACGGCTTACCGAGCGTCACGCAATCGCTTTTCCGCGATCAGCTTTCACGATTATTTGCACTATTGTGGAATATTCCTGGCCCATTTCTTGATGAAAATCGATCGTAATATAATTTCAAGCCTTCAATATAGTCTTCTTACTTTGCGCGCGAGTTGGTTGGTGTGATGTCTGTACAGATTTTACCAACGTAATAAAAGTAGATGACGTGAATAACAGTGATGGTAAAGCAAGCTTAAAACGGCAGAAATCGCCAGAAACTACAACGGATACACAGGGTATGAGAAAGTTTATTGATTTTACGAGAAAAATGTTCATATTTCGAAATATTTATCGTTGTAAATCGACCATATTTCGTTCCCTATACTATTCCTTATGACGTGTTCAAATTTTCAACGGTTCCTCTCGTAACTGAACACCGAGTCACAGAACACAACGCGTGACGCGTTCATAAATCAATCGTTGGCTTTTTCTCGAGGCGTAAGCTTGGGCCGCCTGTGACAAGACAATTGCGTAAACAATACTTGACATAATAACATTATACACAAAAAACACGGGATTTTGGATCATGTATTTATTAAAAAAGAATATCCATACAACTACAATGAAAACAAACATAAGATTCACCTTTCTGATTGTGAAATTAATACCATTCGCACTGTTATCGTAGCTACGTTCCCTGGCATCAAGTGAATCCAACATGGCGTCTTTCTTCACTAGCAGTTTGCATCCATTTGAATTTTGTTCTTCGGTCTCACGGTAGTAGTGTTGTTCAATAGATTGCATAGAGTATATGCAGTTTGGTTTCAGATTTCAGATTTTGCTTTTTACAACGAGTTTACGTTTTCAACTAAGACATTGGCATACTTGGCATACAAGACATACAAGGCATTCAATGCTTTCATGGCTTTCAAGCGTTCGCGATTCTGTCCGATCCAAAATTACCGCTCAATAACATCTTTTTGTGTGGATTGGCCGCGAACAATACGACTTGTGTATGCGTCTATAAGTATTTTGAGCGTTTGCCCCATAATGCTCCAGATGATCGTAATCCAATTACGTTGAAATACAAAACGACTGACAAAATAGTTTTATAGGCAAAAATCTCGTATTCGTCATTTGACCCGGCTCTGTCCGTGCATGACAACGTCAATCATCATCAAGATAGCACGCGTGATCAGCATGTGAACACCTCATTGGATCACAGTTAGTTGTCATGGTGCTGAGGGCCCAATGACCTCTGGGTACTATTGCGCAATTTTTCCATTTTGTGGGGGAGGAAAAAAAAAAAAAAAAAAGACGACAAAAAAACAAAGGCATTTTATGACTGGGCTACCACAGGTATCCCAGTAAAAAGACGCTAGAAGATGATAGGTTTATGCCTTCTTTATAGGTATTATCATTACAATTTAAACTTTCTTGTTTTTTAATCAACTGTGAACTCAAGTAAACTAATTATATATAATTTCTTTCATTTTTTCTACTAGCGGGCTATTAAACGTGGTTTTTTACTAGCCCGACCAAATTTTTACTAGCCTCGGGCTACCGGGCTAGCGGAGATGTCGAACCCTGACCATCGTAGCGACAAATATTGTATACCTACTTTCACTTCGATGGACTATTTATAGTTGTTATAAGAAGGATCATAATGACACTTAAAGTATGACATTACCTTTGTGTATGCCCAATCAGGTCTCATTATTTCAGAAGGATGCACAGATGATTCTATGCATGGCAAAAAAAAAATTAATTATTTAGATAAAGTTTAATGTGCATCATTTTGTGTCAAGCATTTCAAGGGCAAGTAATTGACAACCACTGACCGAAGTGGAGGTATCTATCCTCAATTTTCATCCACAATAAGGTTAATAATAAACTACACCTACTACACCATACAACTCCAAACTACTTTACCAAACTACAACGAACTACATCTACTTCACCAAACTACACCATATCCCACCTTCACCAAACTACATTACACGACTTCACACCAAACCACACTGCACGACACTACACCAAACTACACCGATTACACCTACTTCACCAAACTACAACACATTACACCAAACTACACCCCCTTTACCAAACTACACCAAACTGCACCGTACTACTCTACATCAAACTATTTTCGTGCTTTCCAAACTTCCCGCGTGCTTCAAATATCAATGAATGCTCCCTGTCGCATGAAATAATTGTTAAGTACGTAGTGTGCTCGTGTTAATGTTGAGGACGCAATCTAGTTCTTTTAGCTTTGTTTTTCAACCTTTAGCATTTATACGATATACCTCATCCGTAATCTGGTCCTATCTTTTGAGAAAGTTTAAGTGGTCCCCTATAATTTGATTAGCATTATACTCGCATTCTGTTTACTTTCCGTGGCCTGTTTTCAGAAAAGTTTGGTGATTCCTGGTTCCCTTACTGTCCTAATGTTGCATAAGGAGCTCGCTTATATACTTCATGTTAATTGCTTTTCAATCAGAACACAAGTTACAATAATAAATAATATAAGTAAAAGGCACAGAAACCTACGATTTGTAACTTTAGGTCTCATAGCAAGAAAACTGCGATGGATATATTGAGAGAACAGCTATAGAAGGAAGCATATTTCCATGAATAATTCGGATCTAAAGTGGAGTCGGTAATCGTTGATTAGAGTTTTTTTGAGTTCTCTTTTTCTCTACAGTTATTTCTAACAACAACAGATCAGAATTGAAATATGTTTGAGTAACGACTCTGTTGTGTTGTTCGTTTCTGACAACAAATGTAGTTATTTAATGCCAAATAATTTTCTATCTGATCAACAGTTTGGCTTTCGACAACATCGCTCCACTGCTACTTCTCTGTGTCAGTTAATTTATGATTTACTTACTAACAAGGACGAAGGCAAGTTCACAGGAATCGTTTACTTGGACTTAAAAAAGGCATTTGATACCGTGGACCATGAAATACTTATTTCCAAACTTAAGACTATTGGTGTGTCTGGAATGACATTAAACTAGTCTCAGTCTTATCTAACTTCTCGCGGCCAAAAGACTGAAGTGGGTCGATCTCTTTCTAGCACTCGGCGAGCAACCGTTGGTGTGCCTCAGGGGTCCATACTAGGACCCTTATTGTTTTTGGTGTACATTCATGAAAAAGGTAAATTTAAAGCATCCCTATCATTCTAAAAAAGTTAGCTACGACACAAAATCAATATGAGCTAATCAAAATGAGCAATCATCCCTGTATCGAGTAATTGGCAATGAAGTTACACCACACCAACAGGCTTAGAGTGCGATTAGATTGGAGATCGTCGGTTGATTTAAATACACATTCTTTATTTTGGTTAGATATGTCTTGCTGAACCTTTGAATCAGGTTGCATTTACAGTGACATTTCACTTTTGAAGGATTGGTAACGTACCTTCAACGATTTCTAAAAATATGCCTTTTTGGTGTTCTTACAAGTGATAAAAAAATCGTGCGACTTGACTTATTATTTCTGGCAATATTACTAAAATTTCAAGCGACATGACTCAGGTTGCGGGCGACTTGACCCTTAACCAAAATATCATGTTTGCTTGGGAAACGGAAGTGACCCAAGCTCTTTCATTTTCTCGAGTTTATGAAATTTTTTTTACAGATTTCAATCTCACAAATTACAGATTTTCATTTTGTTTCGTTTTGTTTCGTTTTGTTTCGCAAATTACAGTAAGCGACTTTCATTCATTAAAGTTAACTTCTAATGAAAACAAAAGATAAATACAAATCTAAAAAAAAAAAATTCTTTAGAATACTTACCCTCAGACTCACACATCTCATTATTAGCACAGTCCTCTTTACTTGACTCACATGCGGAGTCTGTCTAAACAATTGAAGGAAGATGAATTGGAATTAATTATGAAATAAATCAAGAAAAACTTTGGAAATATCTTACTTTAGTATGTTCATGAAAACATTCAGCAAACACCTTGAACTGCTTGTATTTTATTAACAGTAATAATTATGTTCACCAAAGACTACCCTTCAAGATCAAATGTCAAGCGGGTAAGTACAGGTGTAAGCTTTTTTCACACTTTCTTTGCAATTTTTCTATATGATGATATATACTTGAAACATGCTTCAGAGCTTTTGTTAAGATTTGTGTGGAAAGAGTCCAGGTGCAAAAGACCACTATGATGGCAAGTAGCCACTACAGTTAGTGAATACAGAGGTAATTAAGTATGGAAAGAGATTTTGCCCACTATTGGGGCCTGGAA